AATATAGTGTATGTTTCAACATTAAACGACGAAAAGATGTTTAGTTTACGAACGCAGGTCGCTGGTTCACACGCAATGGATCTCTTGTAATTTCGGCCACAATAATTTAAAAAGTATATCACCAACATGACCAACATAGATAAGATGAAATAATTTGAAAGATCCGATATGACTAAAAAAACAACTAGAATGAAAATCAGAGACAAAAAATGTTTACCCAGAAAATGAAAGATTTCTTTCTTCACGCAAGCTAGTTAAACATTTCAAAATAAGAATAATAGCTGAAGTTTTCCTATTGCAGAATTATTCTTATGGCTTTATATGATTACCGCACGTCTGGCATGTCCCACCCTAATTTTCTACGCTTAATTCATTCATCATGTTCATTTGACCATTTCTGATTTTAAAAAAATGTCGCATGCAGATAAATTGTGAATCGGAAATCAATTTCTTTAGAACCAAATCAATATTTGTTGCGAGAAGTAAATAATTCGATAGCTTTTGAAGATTTCAACATACATTTTTGTAACACGCATATTTGTAATAACCACTTTATATACAAAACAAAATTTCATTCTCTTATATGGTAATATGGATGTCGTAATAGATCTGACTGAATGCTTGACATGCCTGTTTCAAAAACGTTTCCTAAGTTATCTTAAGATATGCCTAAGTTATAACTTTAGAAGTTCCTAAGATTTATCACAGCTTTATCACGAAACAATCTTATCTAAAAAAAAATTATAAGTCATTTCTTAAGTTGTGCCTTTAAGGACTAATAAAATAACATTCCCGCTCTATATACAACTCTCAGTATGGTATATATTTTTAGATTCAAAAAGGAAGGGTGCGAGGATTGGGGATTTCCCCCACTTTTAAAGGATTTGGACACAAGTATGCTTAACTTTGCGAAGTGTGTTGCTAGATCTAAGCATTCACAGACACACCCTTTTAAGCCATCTTCCCTTCCGAGCACACGCTATTTGTATTTTAATTTTTAAACATTGTTCTAGGTGTTATACATTTACTTTATTTTGTTCTTATAAGGTATCTACATATAAATAAAATTTTAAAATGAATGCTTCGTAGCGAACACATGCGAGTTTATATTTTTCAAACAATCTTTGCCAATTACTTCACTGCATGTACACGTTAGTTGTTTGTGCTGTGTAGAGCAACTATCAGAGTACACAATGTATTTCAACATCGAGGTGCCCGCGGCTCTCTGTGGCCACGTGTATGTAAACGAGGACTGGACTACAACACCTAAGACACAAAGCGGCAGAGATGGATGAAACTGTTTGCTATATTACAAATACATGACTTGTATATTTGAAGGAATTTTCATTTATGTTAATGTTTATTTAATTCTATAAATAATAAATGGACATTCACAAGAGTGATGGTAAAAATAATATGTGCGTAGCATGCGTAGTAATTACAATTATTTACCGAAGTCCCCATTCAATTACAATTGCAGATGAATTAAAATACAACACGGGATAGAGCAATACTTTTTTAAATGTATTGTTGCGTGAACAGACAAAAACAGCGATTAAAATTTAAAATGATTTTTATGCACCAGTGTTTGGAATTAAGATTATAAAAGATCGGTAAAGTAATCTTACTGATTCGATATAATTAAAAACATAACTTTCCATTAATTAATAGCTCTTTGTACAAAATTGACATTATACGCGATCACAAATACTAGCTTTGTTTATGGCCACAGGTGGCTAGTACACTGGTGACCTCGATCAACAGCGTGGGATTCGCGCGTTGGGTTACATAACTAAATATCGAGCTGAACATGGAGACCGTAATATGCATACAGCTAATGATCGTGAATTATTCAATGCATACAGTTTAAAATCACTTACAAAGTTTGTTGTAATAATAAACGTAGAAAGATAGATTTAATATTCTCCGCTTTTGAACACTATTAATCTAATTTAAGAAGAAAAAGAAGAAAAGAAAGACAAGTTGTAATAAATAATTTAATAGTGAACCATAAACCACGTTTTAAACCTTATTAAAAAGAAAATTAACATTAAATACCGCAGGGTATATTATTGATAGCAAGTCTGTTTAAGTTATACACATGAAGAGGTCTGATTTCCTTGCCGAATGAAAAACGTTACCTGGCCTGCTTTCTAATACGTATTACGCAATACCCATGGTATACTCGAACAAAACAACATTTTCATTAGATCAAAAAGGTGTAAAAGAACAATTTTGTTCCCAAGATCCAGATCGAAATATTTACCGTTTTTGAGTTATAAAGCAAAAACTTTTAAGGGCCCAGGATCCCGAATTATAGGGGCCAGCCCCTTTTAAATAGTATAATATGAAAGCCCTTGCAATTATGCACAACTTTTATTCTACATGTTTTAACAAATTATTTTTAGTTTTAAAGATATAAAGGAAAATATGTCAAAATTTTTGCTCTTTTTCGCGTTCTAAATTTTGACCCCTCTCTAGCGCATTTTTAATGCAAAAATCAAGAAAGAAAAACCGATGTGCACAACTTCAATGCTTCTTCTTTTCAATTTCAAATGGTATTGTGCTCCAATTATTACAGTTTCCGAGCCTTTGTCTGGAAACCAGAGGCATAAAAATTTCAATCAAAGGGGAATAACTCGTGAACAGAAGGTAATTTCCGAATTGTATTACAGTATTCTGAAAGTGTTTTGTAAAGTCTAAAAGCTCTGAAAATTTGAACAAAATCTGTTCAGAAATTAGGAAGATATGAAGCTTCAAAGTTGGCGTCTAGGAAAAAAAAAAAAAAAGAATAATCTTAATCAGTACAATCAGTAGAAGGTCTTCCGTTGGAAACGGAAGACCTTAATAATAATCTTAACCATCAGAATCAGTAGAAGGTCTTCCGTTGGAACGGAAGACCTTAATTCAGCACATTTCAAGAAATTTTCAAAATATGACTTTTGTGGGGGCAAAAATGTGCATATACCGCATATAATTCTATAATAGTTGTGTATTAGTGCAAATAGTCAGCCCTAAGACAAGCACTTTTGTCAAAAGGGCTATGGGATGAAGTGCCATCACTGACAACTGTTTGTTTACCTGTCAGTCCAAAACAAAATTGGTTGGTTTCTTAGTAAATTTTTTTTTATCATGATGACCCTATGAAAATAATGCTCGAATTACACATAAATTTTGATGTTTAAAATGGATATGCACTTCAACAAACACAAAGCAGTAGTGACTAGAATGTAAAGAATCAGTGCTATTGTGCTTGGCCTGATGGTCAAACTGTTGAACACAATAATTATGGTTTCAAAATTCTTAGAGGTAACATTTTTTTTGTTTGAAAATATTACTTCTTTCGAGAGAGATCTCATCCTCCATATAAAAATGTATATCACAAGAGATTTCTCTTGTAAATAAGAATAAAGGAAACAAATTCAGTTTGAAAGTCGCTTTTTTCTTCTTCTGTTACGAGTTAATCTTGCTAGAGTATTATACTTGGGTAGTGTTGATTTTTGGGGTCATCAGGTTTGGCACAATTTCTTGATTTAGCTTGATATAGCTATTCCAAAATAGCTTGACTTAGCTATTTTATCAAATGATTTTTTTTAAATGTGCATTTTTTTTCCAAGAATATACAAAAAAGTCACACTTTGATGCAGTGATACTTTTCAACTTTTTATTGTACTAAAAACAATGTATAAAAAAATTGTTTATCAAACCACATCTCCTTCTAACTAGGGACTCTAGACTCATAGCTCTAAAAGTTTTGTGGATACATAAAGCCCTTGATTTGTGACCACAGTTACTTCTTACATGAAATCATAAAGGGGGATCAATTCTCATAAACAAGATAATTGATTGGTAATGCACAATGTGAAGTAATCATTCTTGTCCACACCCAAAACCAGCATTGTTTAAACTATCTTTCAATTGGATTGCCTTTTTAATAGTTCATAGGAAAAATATGAGTAGTCACATACTATCTTTGGTCTTTAAAACACACACACACACATTTGTTACAAACTGCTTTAAAATAGATTAATCAAGCTATTTTAAATAGCCAAATATAATTATTTTCAAGCTGTATGGCTAAATCAAGAGATTGTGCTAGACTTGGTCATGAGTTGGTGCTTTAATTGTTCTTTCTTTTTTTCTTCTTCTTCTTTTTTTCATATTTTTGTTTATTCATGCTCTTCCGCGGATAATTTTTTCTATGATAAAAATTTTGTTGTCTTTGGGATCTGTTTATATCAACTGTGGCGAGAACCTGTCCTCTCCGAGTCCCAGTTAGGTTAATCACGTCCAGTACAATCAGTACATTTAGCTATGTAGCTAAAATTACCTACCATAGCTTTATTTACCTACCTCCGGTAGCTTTATTTAGCTATTTCAAGGCAGCTTTTCATAATTTTGCTTTTTATTTTAAAAAGACAAAAAGTCGCAAGTAAATGTCTACTAATATTTATTCTACGTATTATTTAAAAAGCAATCTAAAGCAGAGATAGTTTTAACATTGCCGTGTTTGAACACTTTTAAGGAAAATATGTATTTCCATTGATTGAGCAGCTGTACACCACCTTGTGTGCGATGAGGCGTGGATAAGTATGATTACTTTACATTGTGCTCATGTTAACCAAAACTGGTTTTCTTTGTTATTTCACTCAAGAAGTAACTGTCAGGTCAGAAATTAACTGTTGTATATTGCCCTAAAACTTTTAGAACTTTGATTGCAATTGCGCAGAAAAAGACACATCTCCAAGAGTGATTTTTTCATGAATTGTTTCTAGATGAGTTCAAAATTGAAAATTATCACTGCATCAAAGTGCAATTTTCTGCACTTTCTGAAAAAAAAAGTGCTAATTTAAGAAATAAGCTTGATTTAGTAGCTAAATAAAGCTACTTCAAGCAGGTAAATAAAGCTATATAGGTAATTCAAGCTACGTACCTAAATCTAGTGATTGTACCAGACCTGTTAATCACTGAATCAATGAACACTAATAAATCAAGATTACCTTTAGCATTCCACACAAGTGGTTTGTCATTTTGGAAGTATACTTTGATTGGACTGGAGACAGACATTTCTATACATGAGAGCAAAAATAATCATTCAAGTATTCGGTAAATTTGCATATTTAGGGGAAAACAGCAGTATTTCCAATCCAACTACAGGGGCGCAGCCATCTTTAAATTTCTCGCACTTCTTGGAAGAACTCCGAGAACTTCGTAAGTGGAAGTCACGTGATTTAAACGGCGCGAAATAAGCACATTGTCAACAAAACAGAGAGGGAAAAGATAGAAAGAAAAAATTAATAATGGCAACAGATATTGATCAGCGCTTGATCGATATTCAGAGAGAGTATGTTGATTTCCTTGATGATGGGGTAAGACTTTTTCAATTATGTTTGACTGGGAGTTTGACTTACAGACATGAATTTAAGCAGAGGTTATTATAGCTCATACTCGGGGAGCGTTTGCAGAAATAATTTATATGTAATACCTTCATTCGACATTGTTTTCAAAAATGTGATCTGTACCGGTTGTTATCTATATCTGTTGTTGCCACAAACTCTCTAATTCAGATCATTACGTATAATTTATGGAAACGTGTGTGTGTGTGTTGGGGGGGGGGGGGGGGGTATATTAAGACAGAACACTGAAGGTATTGGCATACCAAGGGGTCATTGGGTTTTGATGCCAGGATTAATGCCACTGATGTGAACGTGTGTAGTGTGCATGTGTTGGGGGGGGGGGGGGTTCTTAAGAGTTTAGTTCACCTGGGGCATATGTAACATGAGGGAGAAAATATGATGAATTCGAACCCACCAGACTAGAATATTTAAGTAGGGCCCCCTGAACTTCAGTCTTTCTGGCCACCACTTCCCATACATACCAAGAATGACTTTAATACTTATTAAGCTGTGTTGGGAAGAGTTGGAGTGGACACCATATTGTATACCTAAGGAGACCCAACAGGCAGCTGGTGTCTCAACTTTCATTACTGTAATTTGAAATGCCAAACCTTTGAAGTTGATAGATATGTTGCAGAAAGATATGGTCATATTTTCAGTTCATTAATTTGCCTGTTGTACTGTTTAAGAATGAACATCACTGCCAAAAAATTATTGTAATCTAGAGAGCATATGGATAAATTGTTGGCAAGCCCAAATATCAGCTTTTAAGCTCCATAATTAGAAAAAGTAAAAGACGAATATTATGGGACATGACAGGCCCAGCTTAAAAATACTGTTTGTTTGCCCTCTCCCAACTCGGATGAAAAATTTGGGTTGGTAGGTAGGTGGGAAAATTTTCAAATCGGTGCTGAATTGTCAAAATCTATTTTCCGGAATGCATAAAAAAATAATTCTTTCCTGGAGGTCAAAAAAAGTTTTGAGTTCGGCCATTTTTAGCCAGTCAGTCAGGAGAAGGCAAATATTAAAAGATGGCCCAGGTACTTTTGCATTTTAGGAATGTTCATATTGAATGTTGTAGGAAGACCAAGGCATCTACCAGCAGAAAGTCAGGGACATGATCACCGATGACAAATGTAGACTTGTAGTGAACATCAATGATCTTCGGAAGAAAAATCCTAAAAGGGCACAAAGGTTTGTACTAGTAGTGATCAAAGTCATTGGAATATGTGTACATCTACATGACTGTCAGTCTTTATATACATATATGTGTTTGGTGTAAACTTTTTTTTCAAATTTAAAACTTCGTCTCAGTAGCTGCTGGATTAATTGAAGTCAAAACTTGACTCAAATCATCTTTGTTTGAAATGAATTTGAGCCAAGTTTTGTGAGATAAAGGGCCATATCCTTTATCAAGGGATGAAGTTAAGTATTTAGAAAAATATTCAGTAGAATCATTTAAAAATCTTCTTTCTATTATCACTGAGCCACACAAGTCAGAAGCTGCTTAAAAACTTCTAAATATATCTCGTGTATATTTTTGTTTGTTCAAAGCATGATTCATGATAATGGAAATTATTATAAAATAAATTGTGTTTTGTATTCCAGCTTGTTGAATGATTCATTTGAAGAGCTTGTGGCATTCCAGAAAGCATTAAAAGAATTTGTGGCTTCAGCAGACCCAGTATACAGCAAACAACATGAGGAGTTTTTCATTGGATTTGAGGGAAGGTATGAGCAAATTCAATACCCTAAGTAGCGAATGCTAATACTTCATTATTTCGACCTTGATGGGGCCAAGAAAAAAATTCAAAATATCCTTGGATTGGAGATATCAAGGTTAGAATACATAGGAAAGTGGTTGGAACTTTCGACTCACTTTGACACATCCATGGTATTTGAATGTTCAGGGTACTGAAGTTTGACTGTATTTGTTGAAATTTTTTACATGTAAAGGATACATTTGTTAAGGAACATTTCTTCTCTTATTTCTTTTTGAAAACTATGAATAATCTGTCATATCTTTGTCTTGATAAGAAAATTCATTATTATCAAAATGATTTTCCAAATATATATTTAAGAGCTTTCAGTCAAAGTTATCTTTTAAGAATGAAAGTTCTTTCTAAATTAATAGCTTCGGTGCAAAACATGTGACTCCTAGAACAATGACATCCAGTTACCTTGGCAACATGGTCTGTTTGGAAGGAATAGTCACTAAATGTAAGTTGTTTAAGAATTTTTACTGTCGAAAATATTCCAGTGTGTATTTCAGTTATATTTGTTTACTCGTCTGAACTAAAAACAGCACAGACCATGGCTACAAAAGATCATAACTACATATGATACATGTGTCTCCAAAGAGAAACAATTTGTGACATCATGACGTTTGACAACTTGTAGGTTCTTTGATCCGCCCAAAAGTTGTAAGAAGTGTGCATTTTTGCCCTGCCACAAAGAAAACAATGGAGAGACGATACACTGACTTGACCTCTCTAGATGCCTTTCCAAGTGCTGCAGCTTACCCTACCAAGGTGAGTCTGGTTCCTGTGAAGGCAGGTCTGATACCTGACCAAGTCAAAGTTGGTCTCAATTTTGTAAAGCTGTCTTTCACTCTTGCCTGACCATTCTTTTTTTAGCTCACCTGTGCTGAGAGCTCAAGTGAGCTTTTTTGAATACATTTGTATGTCGTCCTTCTGTTTGTCTGTCTGTAAACTTTTTACATTATTGAACTTCTCAAGAACCACTGGACCAGTTTCAACCAAAAGTGCAACAAAGAATCCTTGGGTAAAGGGGATTCAAGTTTGTTCAGATGAAGAACCACACCCTCTTTCTAGGGGAGATAATCAAGAATTGGTGAAAAATTGGTGGCATCTTTCAAAAATCTTGTCAAGAACCACTGGGCCAAAAAAGTTGCACCTTGTGTGAAACTTTCATTACATAGTGTAGATTCAAGTTTGTTCAAATCATGACCCTTGGGGCTAGGGTGGGACCACAATGAGGAATCAAAGTTTTACATAGAAATATATAGGAAAATTCTTTAAAAATCTTCTCCTCAAGAACAGCAGTGTCCCAAATAGTCATACTGATAAGGAAGCATCCTCAGGTAGTTTAGATTTAAGTTTGTTCAAATCATGACCCCCAGGGGTAGGCCACAATGGGGGATGGAATTTTACATAGGAATATATAGGGGAAAAAATCTTTTAAAATCTTCTCCTGAAGTAAAGCAAATCCATGATTAGTCATATTAATATGGAAGCATCCTTTGGTATTGAGATTCATTTTGTTTAAATCATGACCCCTGGGGTAAGGGTGGGGCCAAAATGCGGGATCAAAGTTTTACATAGGAATAAATGTATAGGAAATAATATTTGACAATAAAAAATGTACTGAAATTTAAACAATTGTCTTTCATACGAATTTCTTTCCACATCATTTGGCCTACTGACAAAGATGCATGTATATATGTGTATGCATGTAGAGATTAATGTAATGTTCTCTTTCCAGTTATAGGGCTTTTTATAATGCTTTAATAAAAGATTCAGTATGTATAAAACAAATGATGTCTTTGTTTGAAGGATGAGGAGGGTAATCTGCTGGAGACAGAGTATGGGTTGTCAGCTTACAAGGACCACCAGACATTTAGTATCCAGGAAATGCCCGAGAAAGCTCCTGCTGGACAGCTTCCTCGCTCGGTGGACATTGTAGCCGACAACGATCTGGTAGATGCTTGCAAGGCGAGTACTGTAACAGTGAGATTTTATCAGATATGAAGATGGTCATATTGGAAAATCTTAGCTGATTATGTGTGTATCACAGATTGAAGTTCGATATTGTTATTGTTCCTGATGTTCATTGCTATGTTTCCATCATTTCTTTACTTATTTACTATTTTAATGATATTTAATCCATTTCTGACAATGGTTTATTACAGCCAGGGGACAGAGTTCAGGTGATAGGCATGTACAGGTGTATGCCTGGTAAAAGGAATGGATTTACAACAGGTACATTCAGGTAAGAAACGACACTGCATACAAAACTTCTCTTGAATTTGTGTAAATGATTTACTAGTAAGTTATGTTTGATAGGAAATGTTGATTCATGTTGAACTTTGTGTTTTGCAGGACTATTCTGATCGCTAACAATATTCAGCTTTTGAGTAAAGAAGTCACACCATCATTTTCTGCAGAAGATGTTTCCAAAATCAAAAAGTTTGGTAAACAGAAGAATGTGGTAAGTTTCATATTGAAAAAGGCTGGATATTTCAACATTGGTATGTTTGAACATTGCAAAGCATACATATTCTGATTTATTCTACTGTTTTAGTATAAGATTATGTAGTAAGATTTTCTTCTGATTTCTACTAATCTAAGAGCTAAAAATGCTGAGCAGTGAATTGAATGATATTGGTTGTAGGATGTATTTGATGTTTTGAGTCGGTCCCTTGCACCCTCCATCCATGGGCATGAGTATATTAAGAAAGCTGTTCTGTGTATGTTACTTGGTGGGACAGAGAAAGTACTGGCAAATGGTTCCAGAATAAGAGGGTCAGGAAAAACATAATTGATTCTGTTGTTACTTATTTAGACTTTTACCATGTTCTTTCTTATAAGCCACTGTTGATAATGTACATGTATGAGTGATTGGTAGAATTTTTTTTTTTCATTTTATCAACAGGGACATTAATGTGTTGTTGATTGGGGATCCTTCAGTTGCTAAATCCCAGATGCTGCGGTATGTTTTACATACTGCACC